GTAGTGGTAGTGGGAGTGGCAGTGGTGATAGTAGTAGCAGTAGTAGTAGTAGTAGTAGTAGTAAGTTGCAGCTGTCGTAGTTATGGCCATGGCCTTGACAAGCCCGGCCGTCTTTTGCGAGTCTTTCGCAGGACTTTCCTCTGACACTGAGGCTAGTTCTTGGCAAGACCTGCTCGCAAATTTTAGGTGGCGACTGTTTTGGTTTGGCCTTTTTCACAGCTCTTTGAGCCCTGGCTACTTGGTTTGTGGAGCTAGTGATGCTTGTTGTGATGGCGCGGGTCCCCTGTTGCAGGAAGATGCAGGAAGCAAGGGCCTCTCTCTGGCTATGGTGGTCTCTCTTGCTTGCTTGCTTGCTTGCACGCCGTTTGGAGGACGGGGTTCCCCCCGCAGCCCCTGCGCTCACGTGCTACGGCACTGTCTGTTGTCCTCAATCTCTCTCTCTCTCTCAGCAAAGGTGCTTTGGCCACCAGCCTTGGACCGCAAACACTGTACCAAGTCTCCTCGAACGCAGCCCAGGGCGCGGCAGTACGTACCTTCAGGGCGCTCGTCTGCCTATCGGGTCTACTGTCGACTTCAGGACGTGAGGACTGAATATGCTAAGGCTGCTAAGGCCAGTCCTCGAACCAGTCGCTTAAGGTGCTTGCACTAGGCACTGCCGCCTTCCGAAGCCGTATATAGCTGCCTAGATGTTCAACGAAGCCATTATGTCAGGAAAGCGCACACAGCTGCACAACATCGTAGATTTCCGGAGGGTCCTGAGCTTACCCGCCAAGCACAACCGCCAACAGTCACCAGGCCAGTCTGCATCTGAGCAGCTTGTCATAGCTTGTCACTGTGCGAACAGTACACATCGCAAGGCATCGGAGGTCCTTGATCCGACCCATGCGATGTTTCACTTCCACAACCAAAGTCTCCTGCACCGTTCAGATCAAGGACGTCAGGGCATGTGGACGCACGGGGCTTTACGGGCTGATCCACCATTCACGGCTGATGGCTGGAAAGCAAAACTGAGAATCAACCTGCTTCATCTCTCGCAACGCTTCTTTGCACAGCACCTTGTTCGGAGCATCGGCTGTAGATGCTGGTGTGGTCATGCGATGTCCTCTTGCCAAGACAGGGAGCATGCGCAAGCTCTGCTGCTTCAATGCTAGTGCACTGGCTGGCAGAGCCTGCGACTCATCCCTGAACTGTGTTGCTTTCGCCGGCCCTCTTGAGCAATCGAACGAATTGAAATGAATTGGTAACACACCGGGCTGCCTCCTCCAGTTGAAAGATTCGCTGGCGCGGGGCTCTGCCGTTGAACGTCCACCTCGTAGGGAGTATGGATACAGTGGCCGTGCAGCTTCGACTACGGCACTCCAAGACCGGCTGGTCGTGCAGAGTCCAGCATCGAAAGTTGGGCACAGATGATTCGTCCCAAGCAACGTACCGAACCGAAGAGAAGGCAATCGGTCGTATGCGAACAACACGAAATTCCATCTCCTGCCGTTGTTGCAGGAGAAGAAATCTCCAAATTCAGCACTAGGCTGGGTGCACAGCTGCCGAAGGCCGCCACTACTCTTCGCGGTGTTTTGACCCTTACAGGCTGGAGGCCTGTGGAGCTTTCAGCAAGTCCAGAGCCGAATCAAAACCGAACCGACGCGTGCAGGCAAGGACTCGTCATACTTCGAAACACGGCAGAGCTTAGTCGGCTTAGTCGAAGCGTGCCCTCAGGCCGTCGTCGAAGCGGTAAGCTTACCCATCTTACCAAATGTGCAGATGTGGAGCAAGGCCGTCCACGAAGCCGGTGAGGAGGAAGAACGGCCGGTGAACAGGGACTGCAAGAAGCAGGTTGGCACAGCACTGCCACTACTGTCACTACTGGAGCTGAGATGCAGTTGCAGCTCTAAGTACTCTCTGCAGGAAGTCCAAGAAATAGACACATTGCAACACACCACTTCAACAAATGGCACAAATAGAAACGCCTCGCACATGGCACACCCAGGCAAGCACTGCCTTCAAAGGAAACATGTTTCAAGGGTGCCTGAGACACCACAGAGTGCAGACGTAGCCATGGTAGGCCGATGCAGTTTCGATTTGCTGTGCCGCCCACCTTCACGTGCATCTGACGGTGGCTTGCTTTCTTGTCCTTGAAGTCTCGGGGGGAAATATGCAGATGTGATGAAGCACGCTTTTGCGGTCGGTCTTCCATAGCTTCCGCCGGGCAACCGACAGCATTGGCCTTGATGTCTTCACGTGGACGAGTGCCTTCGTGGGGGGCAGGAAATGCCTGCCACGCGTGCAGAAAAGCTGTCCGTCGAATATAGTTGATGCACAGAAGAGCAGGTTTCTGCAGCAGTGCTGAGAACTCTCCGGTTGAAATATGCATGCCTAGTTGTCCAGATGCTGCAACTGCTACGAAGCCGCGACCAGGCCAAGGTGCTTGACAAAGCGCGTGTGTGGCACCGTCCACCGGCAAAGGCAAACAAACTCCTGGGCTCAGACCGTGTCAACAGCAAGCTGTAGTTTGTTCGAAAGCATGTCGCAAGCTCATATCGTCTTGAAAGATCTACTGTAAAGTCTGCGCAGTCAGTGAGGTGATTTGGGCAAGCTGCGATGCTGCTGCCCATACACCTGGCATGGCTCATTGCAGATCACACATGACGGCCTTCAGCCTGTACAGCACATGCGGGAACAAGTTCAGTTGCATGTGCCTCGGAAGGATGCGAATCCTAACCCTTGTCTTGCGAGACATGTGCCTGGCTGCCCACCCGCTCCTGGTAAGCCTGGAGCAGATGGCTCGAAAAACACCGCGCCGTACCAATGAAGCCAATCACGTATCATTTCATTCTCCGATTCTCCGTGTCGCGACGGGTGGGGTGACTGCGGAAGAGCAGGATCTCCGCACTTAAGATTTCACGGCCTCGATGGCAGCATCTTCGTGCCGTGCCCCGAAATCCAAGTTGACTTCCAACCTCGATGGTCGCTTGATATCTCTGTTCTGAATATGAAGCCGTGTGCCATGCATTTCGGATGCCTAGTCGCAGGTCCTAAACCTTCCCTCATTGTTGGACAAGCTCTGCAACACTTGGATAACGGTCGACGTAGCCACGTGGCTCCAATGTTTGGCGAAGGTCGCGAGCCTGAGCACAAACGTTCCCGGGAGCTGGGGCAAAGACAGACTAGGCATGCGGAGAGAACCAAACAGCAATGCGACTTATAACTTGAGCCGCGATATGGGTCTGAACGGCCGAGTCCTGTCCCATGCATGGCTGTCCATGCGTTGTGGACTGAGCCTCTTCCGCAGTCAAACTTTGCTTGAGCTCCGCGGCCTGCTGCGAAAGCCGCAGGACCAGCAAACCAAGACGAACAAGGAACAGTGGGCCTTCGCCAGCGATCTACACTGATCTGTATCCCCAGCAGCACTCATACTGATACTCTGTCCAAGTCAGAAACCCTGATCTGGTTCTTTCGTCTGTCTCACACCTGGCACACGTGTACAGATATACAATCGAATCTGCGTCAAACCTTGCCCACACTGGTTGAGGGTTGGACTTGATGATGCCTTGATGTGTGCAGCATTGCTCACTGCTCGCATGAAGGACAGCAGGTCTGCCATGCACAAAAACCCCATTGCCTCCCAATCAGCATAGCTGAGCCGTTAATCGTTAATTGGCCTCCACTGCTTTCGCGATGGCCTCGCGGGCGGCCTGATCTTGCGACGCAAAGCCGGGGGTCTCTGCGAAATTCGCGTGTTTTGTGCTTGTCTGCCCGTGCAGTGCGCAGCTGGACAAGTTGATGTTAGGCCTGTTATAGGCCTTTTGATGCTGAGGTCTAGGCCTGTGCCGCCTCGACCTTGGGCGCCCGGAAGGCCTCGCACAACGCCGCCTCGAGGGCTTCTGCCTCGAAACAAAGGGCATCTCCTGAATCGCACAGCCCGCACAGCGGGCTCTCCATAAACCCGACAGCCTCGCCACTCTTCGCGAGGAGACGCGCGCGCTCCGTTTGCGGCGAGACAATCTTGGCCACCGGTAGGATTCAAATTCAAAGTCATGATTTGTGGAAGATGAGCCGTCCTGTTCGAAACGAAGCTTTGCCCTTGGAAGTGGCCTCAACACTGGCGTCCGCAGCGTCTGCGAGAAGCATGTCAGGCAAATCCTGAAGACCAGGCGCAATTTCTTGACGAGAGCTGCAATCAGAACCGACCTGCGCAAATCACGAGCCTGGTACAGCAGCTCTATGAAGACTTCGCCCGGGTCGGCCTCGAAGAGAGGCCGACTTGTCTGAGGTGCGGTGCGAGCATCTGGGCTGCCGGGCATGACGATGAAGGCCGGCGGCTGCAGCCACGCGGCCGGCCGAGATGCGGAGGACACGAGGCCACGACCTTCGCTCCGAAGAAGCTCAAAAACGAACAAAAAGCGAGCCACCGTTACCATCCTTTACCCAGCTTTGGAGCCCGCCCGAGCCCGCCAAAGCACACTATGCCGTTGCGGAGCAACCGAGCAATCTACTTGGGGCCCAACTTTGATTTGGCGCCTGGCTTGCGTTGGGTCTCTTCATCGGAATCGTCAACGTTGACAACCTGACATATCATCTTTACTTGGATTGCTGAAGCACCCGCTCCTGACATACCATCTTTACTTGGATTGCTGAAGCACCCGCTCTGCAACCTTGCCAATCAGTTGCGGGGTAGAGGCCGTTGGCACATTTGCTTGTGATTAACATGCGTCTTGAGAGCCTAGACGGTCGAACAATGGCCTCAAACTGCATGAAGCTTGAGCCGGCAAGAAGCGAGGTATAACTAGCCTGCCACTATGCTCAGTGCCTCGTTTTTCGATCGACCGCGAATGTCCATGCGGCTTGTGCCTTTCAAACCTGGGCAGCAAGAACTGGCCAGGCCGCAGCCAGAACTGTGCAGAAGTCCCAGCTGTGCAGCCAGGCCACGCAAAGACGTCGCCTCTCTTAGCTCCTCGGGAAAATGGGCCGTGCCCTGATGCTCCACCAACAAGACTTGTGCGAGATCAGCCTGAAGAAAGGACATGTTATATAATTTGTTATGATCTGTTTGCACTTACACACCGGCATGAAGTAGAAGCCTGTCTTTCTCGGGTGCTCGAGAGCTTCGTATCTGGATCCTTATGAGTACCTACCCCCTGTTATTGCACGGAGGGAGGTACCGAAGAGAGACAATACAAAGGAATCATGCCCTGATGGAAGATAGACAGGGAAAACTAAGCGAGTCTCTTTGGTTATCCGCCGACCCCCTCGGGCGGCGCCAGTGATATCCCGAGAGGTTTTCCGTCTCTTGGGTAGTTTTGGCTTGGCGCCACCGGGCCTTCACCACCTTCGCCACCCCCACCACGCGACCCCCCCGC